CACTGCAGCTACAAACACAAATCACACTGCAGCTACAAACACAAATCACTCTGCAGCTACAAACACAAATCACACTGCAGCTACAAACAAAAATCACACTGCAACTACAAACACAAATCACACTGCAGCTACAGACAAATCACACTGCAGCTACAAACACAAATCACACTGCAGCTACAAACACAAATCACACTGCAGCTACAAACACAAATCACACTGCAGCTACAAACACAAATCACACTGCAGCTACAAACAAAAATCACACTGCAGCTACAAACACAAATCACACTGCAGCTACAAACACAAATCACACTGCAGCTACAAACACAAATCACACTGCAGCTACAAACACAAATCACACTGCAGCTACAAACACAAATCACACTGCAGCTACAAACACAAATCACACTGCAGCTACAAACACAAATCACACTGCAGCTACAAACACAAATCACACTGCAGCTACAAACACAAATCACACTGCAGCTACAAACACAAATCACACTGCAGCTACAAACAAAAATCACACTGCAGCTACAAACACAAATCACACTGCAGCTACAAACACAAATCACTCTGCAGCTACAAACACAAATCACACTGCAGCTACAAACACAAATCACACTGCAGCTACAAACACAAATCACACTGCCGCTACAAACAAATCACACTACAGCTACAAACACAAATCACACTGCAGCTACAAACACAAATCACACTGCAGCTACAAACACAAATCACACTGCAGCTACAAACACAAATCACACTGCAGCTACAAACACAAATCACACTGAAGCTACAAACACAAATCACACTGCAGCTACAAACACAAATCACACTGCAGCTACAAACACAAATCACACTGCAGCTACAAACACAAATCACACTGCAGCTACAGACAAATCACACTGCAGCTACAAACACAAATCACACTGCAGCTACAAACACAAATCACACTGTAGCTACAAACACAAATCCCACTGCAGCTACAAACACAAATCCCACTGCAGCTACAAACACAAATCACATTGCAGCTACAAACACAAATCACACTGCAGCTACAAACAAAAATCACACTGCAGCTACAAACACAAATCACACTGCAGCTACAGACAAATCACACTGCAGCTACAAACACAAATCACACTGCAGCTACAAACACAAATCACACTGCAGCTACAAACACAAATCACACTGCAGCTACAAACACAAATCACATTGCAGCTACAAACACAAATCACACTGTAGCTACAAACACAAATCACACTGCAGCTACAAACACAAATCACACTGCAACTACAAACACAAATCACACTGCAGCTACAAACGCAAATCACACTGCAGCTACAAAGACAAATCACACTGCAGCTACAAAGACAAATCACACTGCAGCTACAAAGACAAATCACACTACAACTACAAACACAAATCACACTGCCGCTACAAACAAAAATCACACTGCAGCTACAAACACAAATCACACTGCAGCTACAAACACAAATCACACTGCAGCTACAAACACAAATCACACTGCAGCTACAAACGCAAATCACACTGCAGCTACAAACACAAATCACACTGCAGCTACAAACACAAATCACACTGCAGCTACAAACACAAATCACACTGCAGCTACAAAGACAAATCACACTGCAGCTACAAACACAAACACACTGCAGCTACAAACACAAATCACACTGCAGCTACAAACACAAATCACACTGCAGCTACAAAGACAAATCACACTGCAGCTACAAACACAAATCACACTGCAGCTACAAACACAAATCACACTGCAGCTACAAACACAAATCACACTGCAACTACACAGACAAATCACACTGCAGCTACAAACACAAATCACACTGCAGCTACAAACACAAATCACACTGCAGCTACAAACACAAATCACACTGCAGCTACAAACAAAAATCACACTGCAGCCACAAACACAAATCACACTGCAGCTACAGACAAATCACACTGCAGCTACAAACACAAATCACACTGCAGCTACAAACACAAATCACACTGCAGCTACAAAGACAAATCACACTGCAGCTACAAACACAAATCACACTGCAGCTACAAACACACAATCACACTGCAGCAACAAACACAATCACACTGCAACTACACAGACAAATCACACTGCAGCTACAAACACAAATCACACTGCAGCTACAAACACAAATCACACTGCAGCTATAAACAACAAATCACACTGCAGCTACAACACAAAATCACACTGCAGCACAAACACAAATCACACTGCAGCTACACAGACAAATCACACTGCAGCTACAAACACAAATCACACTGCAGCTACAAACACAAATCACACTGCAGCTACAAACACAAATCACACTGCAGCTACAAACACAAATCACATTGCAGCTACAAACACAAATCACACTGCAGCTGCAAACACAAATCACACTGCAGCTACAAACACAAATCACACTGCAGCTACAAACACAAATCACATTGCAGCTACAAACACAAATCACACTGTAGCTACAAACCCAAATCACACTGCAGCTACAAACACAAATCACATTGCAGCTACAAACACAAATCACACTGTAGCTACAAACACAAATCACACTACAGCTACAAACACAAATCACACTGCAGCTACAAACACAAATCACACTACAGCTACAAACACAAATCACACTGCAGCTACAAACACAAATCACACTGCCGCTACAAACACAAATCACACTCGCTACAAACACAAATCACACTGCAGCTACAAACACAAATCACACTACAGCTACAAACACAAATCACACTGCAGCTACAAACACAAATCACACTGCCGCTACAAACACAAATCACACTGCCGCTACAAACACAAATCACACTGCAGCTACAAACACAAATCACACTGCAGCTACAAACACAAATCACACTGCCGCTACAAACACAAATCACACATAACACCAGAGTCCAACCTAACACACAACACCAGAGTCCAACCTAACACACAACACCAGAGTCTAACTTAACACATAACACCAGAGTTCCCAACCTTAAAACACAACACCAGAGTCCAACCTAACACACAACACCAGAGTCCCTAAACATAACGCACATAACACCAGAGTCCAACCTAACACACAACACCAGATCCAACTAACACACAACACCAGCGTCCAACCTAACACACAACACAAAAGTCCAACCTAACACACAAAACCAGAGTCCAACTTAACACACAACACCAGCGTCCAAACTAACACACAGCACCTGCGTCCAACCTAACACACAACACCAGCGTCCAACCTAACACACAACACCAGCATCCAAACTAACACACAACACCAGAGTCCAACCTAACACACAACACCAGCGTCCAACTTAACACACAACACCAGCGTACAACCTAACACACAACACCAGAGTCCAACCTAACACACAACACCAGAGTCCACCTAACACATAACACCAGAGTCCAACCTAACACACAACACCAGCGTCCAACCTAACACACAACACCAGAGTCCAACCTAACACAAAACACCAGAGTCCAACCTAACACACACACCAGAGTCCAACCTAACACACAACACCAGAGTCCAACCTAACACACAACACCAGCGTCCAACCTAACACACAACACCGGAGTCCAACCTAACACACAACGCCAGAGTCCAAACTAACACACAACACCAGCGTCCAACCTAACACACAACACCAGCGTCCAACCTAACACACAACACCAGAATCCAACCTAACACACAACACCAGAGTCCAACCTAACACACAACACCAGAGTCCAACCTAACACACAACAGCAGCGTCCAACCTAACACACAACACCAGCGTCCAACCTAACACCCAACATCAGGGATTATATAACACAAAGGAACTTCCTACCCTGTACTACTGTACTTCAGTACCTATCTTCTCACTCAGCCACTGCTAGACACGTCCATACACTCACCTGTACTTCAGTACCTGTCTTCTCACTCAGCCACTGCTAGACACGTTCATACACTCACCTGTACTTCAGTACCTATCTTCTCACCCAGCCACTGCTAAACACGTCCATACACTCACCTGTACTTCAGTACCTATCTTCTCACCCAGCCACTGCTAAACACGTCCATACACTCACCTGTACTTCAGTACCTGTCTTCTCACTCAGCCACTGCTAGACACGTCCATACACTCACCTGTACTTCAGTACCTATCTTCTCACCCAGCCACTGCTAGACACGTCCATACACTCACCTGTACTTCAGTACCTGTCTTCTCACTCCCAGCCACTGCTAACACGTCCATACACTCACCTGTACTTCAGTACCTATCTTCTCACCCAGCCACTGCTAGACACGTCCATACACTCACCTGTACTTCAGTACCTGTCTTCTCACTCAGCCACTGCTAGACACGTCCAAAACACTCACCTGTACTTAGTACCTGTCTTCTCACTCAGCCACTGCTAGACACGTCCATACACTCACCTGTACGGGTGAGGTGTATTCACCTTACAAATATATTTTCTGTTCATCATTCATATATTTTTCTTGATGAAGGATCCCAGAAGGGGATCGTAAATATACAGCCAATTTACTCGTGGAGGTTTCTGTCTCAACAGGAGCCCATATTGAGTACTGACAAATTAAATAGACCTAAGTTATCTTAATATATTATTATATTAATTTATTTTGTAGTGCGTTGGCTGAGCCCTGGTGGGTGTAATTCAGCGCAGGAAGTGGGAGTCCTTGATCACACGTTCCAAAAATGTGGTAAGCCGATTACTCAGACTGTTGGCCACGTACCAAACCATAAAATCTTTGGTGGAGGCTGAGGAGTGAGAAGAAGCAACAGCGTGTCTGTCCCACAGGGCAGTCCCACAGGGCATCCAGAGTTTGTAACCTAGTGAAGGTGCTGATCACTCAGGAATCCGTCACCTCAGTTGGCACTAGTGTAAAAATCAGTGAACACGACATCAGCAGAATCAGTCATTTAGGAAATCACGAGCTTAGTTGTCAACGCTGGCCGCCTTGCTGGCCCTCTCAGGTCAGTATATACTCTCATCATCATGACAGAAGATACACTCATTTCAGTGTAACTCACGTCACCTCAGTGTAACTCACGTCACCTCAGTGTAACTCACGTCACCTCAGTGTAACTCACGTCACATCAGTGTAACTCACGTCACATCAGTGTAACTCACGTCACCTCAGTGTAACTCACGTTACCTCAGTGTAACTCACGTCACCTCAGTGTAACTCACGTCACCTCAGTGTAACCCACGTCACATCAGTGTAACTCACGTCACCTCAGTGTAACTCACGTCACAGTGTAACTCACGTACTCAGTGTAACTCCGTCACCTCATGTTCACCTCAGTGTAACTCACGTTACACACCGCTCACGCACATCAGTGTAAACTCACGTCACACCTCAGTGTAACTCACGTCACCACTCAGTGTAACTCACGTCACATCAGTGTAACCACTCACCTCAGTGTAACTCATCCTATGTATCACTCATCATTAACTACCATTTCAATAATTATAATCCCTTATCAATCATCCACTAAATCCATCAACTATAAAAAAACATATCAAGAGGGAAATAGATGACGCTAGATGAGTCAGTAGTGACCTGGTGAGTCATTAGTGACCTGGTGAGTGAGTAGTGACCTGGTGAGTGAGTAGTGACCTGGTGAGTCAGTAGTGACCTGGTGAGTGAGTAGTGACCTGGTGAGTCAGTAGTGACCTGGTGAGTCAGTAGTGACCTGGTGAGTCAGCAGTGACCTGGTGAGTGAGTAGTGACCTGATGAGTCAGTAGTGACCTGGTGAGTCAGTAGTGACCTGGTGAGTCAGCAGTGACCTGGTGAGTCAGTAGTGACCTGGTGAGTGAGTAGTGACCTGGTGAGTCAGCAGTGACCTGGTCATCAGACAAAGAGACAACTTGCAACCAGCCAGTCACCAACCCTGACTAACTGTTCTCAAATGTTGTAAAGGAACGTAAGGAATAAACCATTTATTAGTTTCTTCAACAGATCACTACAAACGGGTATCGTGCCAAATAAATGGAGAATGACTAACGTGAGACCTGTTTACATAGAGAGAGAGAGAGAGAGAGAGAGAGAGAGAGAGAGAGAGAGAGAGAGAGAGACAGACAGACAGACAGACAGACAGACAGACAGAGAGAAAGTTAGTTTTAAATTATAGATCAGTCAGGCTAACTTTTATTGTAGGAAAGTTGATGGACTCAACGACTGCGGAAGCAGTTCGAAGTCAACTTGAATAACATTATCTGATCAGTGAGTATCTGCAGAGTTTTACCTATTTTTTTAGTAATGAATTCGAGGCGGTAGACGAAGATAAAGACCACAGTATTGTGTGTGTGGATTTCAGTAAGACCTTTGAAAGTCCCACTCGGAAGACTGTTGAAAGTAGCTGCGCACGGAATATGTTGAGAAATTATCTTCTGGATCGAGGCATGACTGACAGCTAGATAACAGAGTTTGCATAAATAGGGAGAAGTCAGAGTAGGGAGCCATTACCAGCGGTGTGCCACACAGGTCAGTGTTCATGAACGACGTATATCAGGGAATAATAGCGACATACAGTAAGCAAATTTTTCGATGACACTAAAATAAATCGTCAAATAAATTCTGACGAGGACACTAGAAGGCTGCAGGAAGATCTGGGTAGATTGATGTTGTGGTCGTAGAAGTGACAGCTGCAGCTCATGTTGTGGTCGTAGAAGTGACAGCTGCAGCTCATATTGTGGTCGTACAAGTGACAGCTGCAGCTCATGTTGTGGTCGTAGAAGTGACAGCTGCAGCTCCTGGCAGACAAATGTTGAGTTCTGATCCTGAGAAACGAAAATAACGACGACACTTATAAACTGAATAATAGAGATCTTAGTCAAAGTGAATGTGAAAAAAAAAATTAGGAGTTCTGGTCAGCAGAAATTTAAAGCCGAGGCGACTGTGCATAAGTGTTCACAACAAAGCGAATATAATTCTTGGCTTTATATCAAGAATGATAAATATAATACAAGTGCTCAGGATATACTTCAGCTTTATATATCTTGGTTAAGTCTTAGATTATGTTGCTGGGGAACAAACAGAGAAGGATGACCAAGTTGATTCTACACTATGTATCACAAACCTCCAGTGATGCCGCCTCCAACTTCACCTCACTGAGAAATGCACACAGAGAGGTGTGCATTTCTCAGTGTATACATACACAGAGGTGTGTATCTCTCAGTATACATACGAGAGTGTAATTCACTCGCTCTTATATACACTTGAGTCATATAAACAGGAAAGAAAACTTTCAACCTAACTTTAACTCACTTACATGCAATTTTGGATCTGTTTTCCCACATGTCTTAATTTTAGCACCAAAAAAAAAAATAGAATCTTCTGGAAATGTCTAAAAAAAATGAACATTTTGCGAAATATAATATATATATATATATAATATATATATATATATATATATATATATATATATATATATATATATATATATATATATATATATATATTATATATATATATAATAATATTAATATATATAATAATTATTCTAATCCCTTATCTCATACCTTTTTTTCACTCAAAATGGAATTTAGAGAAAACGTTGATTAGAAATCGTGATAATTTATATTTATTTATCAGGAGTTTCATATATGCATTTTTTCGATCTCGCAAAAATTATCAAAATTTCGGTGTCAAATTGCTGTATATATCAGACTGTCTTCCTTCTGAGGAAGATTCAGTGTGATGGGCGAAAACATTTAGTTCTTACCAGGGTTTCCTTGCCAGCTGCGAGTGATGGGGTGATGGTGTGCTACTACGGCTCCTGGGCCGTCTACAGGCCAGACAACGGCAAGTTCGACGTGGAAAACATCGACCCGGCCATCTGCACCCATCTCATCTTCGGCTTCGCTGGACTCGGCTCAGACAACAAGATCAGGGTGAGGACCTCTAGCGCTTTGTCAGTCGCATCTCCTGTCTCATCTGGGCGCAACGAAGACGTAAAATAAGCTCTTATTAACGCAATGTTTCACAAGGCGTTGTAACAGTAACATCTTTCTCTGAAAGTTGTATATTATCTTCAATAATGTTGAGGCAGATTTCTTGGTCTCAGCTTCTTGATAGCAAGTGTAATGAACCATGCCCAACGGTTCCACCTATGCCTGGGATCGAACCACGGACACTCGAAGCCACGTAGGTGCTTAACCTCCTAACATCGGATCAAAACACATTCTTCACTAGTTTCGTAAATTGTTACTGGGTTTATTTGCTGAACATGTGATGGAAAGGCACGGTGGAGAACAACACGTTTTTACTGGTATAACCTTTCGCCCTTTCGACTTGATAAAGCTCTCTCTACACAGAGCGAAATGTAAGCCAGCGAAAGCTTCCTGTTCTGAAGTCAGTTGTGTAGCGTTCGAATTCACATTGGTCTGCTGTGGGAAACTCAGTTTTAGTGTCTTTCCAGCGCCATAAAAATTATTTGTATTGTATAGGTATTGCAAACAGGATATAGTATACACCGTGAGGTGTATATGTATGCTGAGAGCTTACTATAGTCCCTATTTTTGGCTGGTGGTGTACAGGTTACATGTAACCTCAATGACGCCTTGTGTAGCCAACAGGCTTTGTAAACCTCGTTAACCAACCCACCAGGTATTGGACCCGTACAACGAACTGTGTGAGAACTACGGCAAGTGCGCCTACGACAGGTTCAATGCCCTGAAGGACAAGAACGCTGAGCTGGTCACCATCCTGGCCGTGGGAGGCTGGAACGAGGGATCCACCAAGTATTCCCAGGTAAATATCATCGTTATTTGAGTTCTGTTGAGCTGTTATGATCTCTGGAGTTTATACGAGGCACGGGGTGACTTATACAGGAGGATTTATACAGGTAGCTCAGGATATGTTATTGATGCTGTGTGTGTGTTCAGATGGCAGCGAGCGCTGGCACCAGGCAGACCTTCGTTGACTCCTCCGTTGAGATGCTGAAGACTCACAACTTCGATGGTCTGGACATGGACTGGGAGTACCCGACCCAGCGTGGAGGAAACCCAGAAGACAAGGTAATTATTATTATTATCAATAGCAGTAGTAGTAATAGTGACAGTAGTGGAAGTATTGGTAGTAATAGTAGTATTGGTAGCAGTAGTTGTAGCACTATGATCAGGACCAAAATTAAGAAGTTTTATGCAAAATTAATAGTAAAATAGTGTATGAGTCTTGTAGTACCTGAGGAATTAGGAGTAATTAGAATCAATCCGAGGATTGGAAGGGTAGCTTCAATTCCTTGGATCAAGAGGCCTTCACCAGCATCAAGACAGTTGTCCCTCCCTTGAAGGGATGACGAATGCTCTTACGACAATGTTTACACTCTCATGGCTTAATTGATTAGCCGAGTTTTTTTTTTCAGTGATTTGTGGACTTTTTTGTGTGTATAGAAAATAAAAACCTTCGTGATAAGTTTTTTTTTTTTTTTACGTATAGATGGCAGAGCTTGCCTGGCTGTGGCGGCAAAGCCTTATGGCGGATATTGTTGACTTTGGAAATGATGAACAGCGCTACAGTAGTCAAAGACTGTGTAGATGGTTAGAACATTGTCTTAACTTGTAAATGGATCACAGTCTCTTTCTTAAACATTTACACCTCCTTCTTCTTCCTCCTCCTCCTCCTCCTTGTCCTCTCCCTTCTCTTCCTCCGCCTTCTCTTCCTCCTCCTCCTCTTCCTCCTTCACCTCCTCCTCCTTGTACATTTTCCCTCATAAGCCCCACAAGATGATCTTTACATGGTCAACTTTATTAACCTGGAAATAAGCCTCGAGGTCTCCAGTACCATGAAGGTGCCGTTATAACATTTGTTTTTCTAAACGGGTTACTGAGTTACAAAGAAAATTTCTCCATGGCGAGGTAGTAATATTTACCTGCTGGGTGTCTCGTCCATAGGAGAACTTCGTCAGCCTTCTGTCAGACCTGAAGACGGCACTCCACGCTGAAGGAATGATCCTGACGGCTGCTGTGTCAGCAGGAAAGCTGACCATCGACCCAGCCTACGACATCCCCGCCATGGCTGAGAACATAGACATTGTCAACCTGATGGCGTACGACCTGCACGGTGCCTGGGAGACCTACACCCACCACCAGTCTGGTCTCTATCCTTACCCTGACGACACCGGAGATAACGTTTACCTCAACCAGGTGACATAACTCAGTGTATTACGTAACTTCCGTCTATTTGCACATATATTTCTCATTAACAATTTCCGTTCATCCATTATGAACAATTACGCAATATATAAACTTATTTTTACCTAAATTTACATAAGAATTAAGGCAGTGTATATCCTGTAAGAAGATAATTCATATAAAATAACAGACATTTATGATGGTCTAAAAATACAGTACATATACAATTAGTCGTAAGATTAATACTTATAGACAAGAAATACGGTTAATAGGAACGTCTCGTAACGATGACTGTACAACAATAAATATTTACATTGACTGTTGTATAAGACATGATGGTGTTCGTACAGGACTTCGCTGTGAGGTACTGGATAGACGGAGGAATGCCAAGCACCAAGATCGCTCTGGGAGTGCCTCTGTACGGCCGCTGCTACAAGCTGGACTACAGCACTGACGAGACTGGTTACTACGCCCCTGCCAGCCAGCCAGGACCAGCTGGACCTTACACCAGGAGTCCAGGCTTCCTGGGCTACAACGAGGTAATAAAGAATTCTACACCTCGTAGAGAACAAGTGTCACCTGTGTAGTGAGACTAAGAGAATACATGTTATGTGTTAATGTCCAGGGTTTATTACCTGGACCTCAGCAATGAGAGTCGCTACTCTCACCGCTGGGCAACGGCGACCAGTACTGGTAAAAGAATACAATCAATTTTCTTTCAGCAGAAATGCAACACCATCAGGAGTTCATTGTCACCTTTCAACTTCATTTTTTACAGATCTGTGAGTTCCAGAAGGATGAGGGTGACTGGGTAGTGGAGATAGCACCAGGTATGAACGAACCTTACACCTACAGCTACAACCACGAGAGGATCTGGTGCTCTTACGACGACCATGACTCTTGCGTCATCAAGGTAAGAGATGCCTCCACTATAAAAGGACTCAAAAAAACAAAAAAAATTAAACAGCTTTCAGAATACCCTGTGTAGAGAGAGGGGACTGTGTTTTGGCTGTATTAAAAAAATGGACTATGATATATATTCTGAAGTGAATCGTTCTTAATTGCTAATGGTTTGTGTAGGGAATATAGAGGATTAAACTGACGTGCTTTCAATAGCAAGCTGACAGCTAAACCGACTCGGCCACAGAGTTGCCCTCAAAACAAACCGTGATACTTACATCATTGTTAATAATATTTACCAGTGCCGGCCAGGTATGCTAATAATATTTGTCACCCGTGCAGGCTGACTACGCTAAGAGCATGAACCTGGCTGGTATGATGGTGTGGAGCATTGAAACTGATGACTTCCTGGGTTACTGTGACGAAAGACCCTTCGATCTTATCAAGACCCTGAGGGAGACCTTCACCGGGGAAGTTATCCCCACACCACCCACACCACCCACCACTACTGCTGTAAGTTATCCCCACACCACCCACACCACCCACCACCACTCTTGCAAGTTATCCCCACACCACCCACACCACCCACCACCACTCTTGCAAGTTATCCCCACACCACCCACACCACCCACACCACTCACACCACCCACACCACCCACCACCACTCTTGCAAGTTATCCCCACACCACTCACATCACCCCACCACCCACACCACCCACACCACTCACACCACCCACAGCACCCACACCACTCACACCACCCACACCACCCACCACCACTCTTGCAACTTATCCCCACACCACCCACACCACCCACACCACTCACACCACCCACACCACCCACCACCACTCTTGCAAGTTATCCCCACACCACCCACACCACTCACATCACCCACCACCCCAACCACCACCCACACCACTCAAACAACCCACACCACCCACACCACTCACACCACCCACACCACTCACACCACCCACCACCACCCACACCACCCACACCACCCACACCACTCACACACCACCCACAGCACCCACACCACTCACAACCACCCACACCACTCACACCACCCACACCACCCACCACCACCTCACCACCACCCACACCACCCACACCACCCACACCACCCACACCACCCACACCACTCACACCACCCACCCCAAACTCACACCACCCACACACCACTCACACCACCCACACCACCCACACCACTCACACCACCCACACCACCCACACCACTCACACCACCCACACCACCCACACCACCCACACCACTCCAACACCACCCACACCACTCACACCACCCACACCACCCACACTACCCACACCACTCACAACCCACCCACACCACCCACACCACTCACACCACCCACAACTACCCACACCACCCACACCACTCACACCACCCACACCACTCACACCACCCACACCACCCACACCACCCACACCACTCACACCACCCACACCACTCACACCACCCACACCACCCACCACCACTCACACCACCCACACCACCCACACCACCCACACCACCCACCACCACTCTTGTAAGTCCTACTTCTCTCAATATTTTGTTCTCTATTACTCTACTGTACTAACAAAAGCTTTAACAAGCAGCCATCTACTGCCTCTCTACGCTGATAAAAAAAATTCTGTAGTCCACATAACGTATAACTTGTGTACAGACTTCACTTTAAAGTACAAGAACTGCCTGACATGATTATAATACCAAGATATTGACCACTTGCAGGATCCTGACGCGACCACCACCCCGTCCACCACCACTCGAGGTCCTCCTCCACCTGACGGTGTGTGTTCCAAGCCAGGTCTCAACCCTGACCCTGAGAACTGTCACCACTACTACCTCTGTGCCCCGGTGAGTCACCTAACTCTTTGTACTACTACTACTACTACTACTACTAGTACTACTCAACAGGTCTATGAACGTGTAAATTAAATAGTCGTGATGTAAAAAGAAACTAGTGTAAATGAGTTTTAATTTTAGAGGAAGTAGTGTAAATGAATTAGTTTTAATTCTGAAGGAAGATAGATGTTGTATATCCAGTGAACAATGTTAATCGTAGTTTTTTAAGCTGAGTGTATTTCCACGTGACTACGATACTCTGCGAGATATTTTAGTAACAAAAATTGTTACTTGCAGAACACTGAGAACGGCTACGACGCGACGGAGGAAATTTGTCCAGAAGGCACTCTCTTCAACCCCAACGCTAACATCTGCGACTGGTCGTACTCAGTGTGCGCCATCGGCAACATTTGTGAGAACGACTGCGCCTAAGCCTCTCCCGTTCACACTGCCTCTACAAGCTTCTTCAAACCACCCTGCCTCTCCCTGGAGCTCTCCCGTTCACACTGCCTCTGCAACACCTCGTCCTGAAGCCTCATTAGACCGCTCTCCGTCCTCTCTTTGTTATTGTTGCCGGTTTATAGAGTCAACGAGACGTTGCGCCGTATCATCATAGGGCCATTTACACCTTGCGCCGTATCGAGATCTTTTCCGTCATGTGCAACTGTTTTCCTTAAGTAAATTCCTTGAAATAAATGACAGAATTCATACCTGTTCCTGTTTTATTTTTCCGAACCCTATGTGTTGTTACAGCTCTTCAGGGAGCCTTGACAGAGGGCGCTATCCTGTAGTTACCAGCTTCGGTCCTATAGTTACCAGCTTCGGTCCTATAGTTACCAGTTTCGGTCCTATAGTTACCAGTTTCGGTCCTATAGTTACCAGCTTCGGTCCTATAGTTACCAGCTTTGGTCCTATAGTTACCAGCTTTGGTCCTATAGTTACCAGTTTCGGTCCTATAATTACCAGCTTCTGTCCTATAGTTACCAGTTTCGGTCCTATAGTTGCCAGCTTCGGTCCTATAGTTACCAGCTTCGGTCCTATAGTTACCAGCTTCTGTCCTATAGTTACCAGCTTTGGTCCAATAGTTACCAGTTTCGGTCCTATAGTTACCAGCTTCGGTCCTATAATTACCAGCTTCAGTCCTATAGTTACCAGCTTCGGTCCTATAGTTACCAGTTTCGGTCCTATAGTTACCAGTTTCGGTCCTATAGTTACCAGCTTCAGTCCTATAGTTACCAGCTTCGGTCCTATAGTTACCAGTTTCGGTCCTATAGTTACCAGCTTCGGTCCTATAGTTACCAGTTTCGGTCCTATAGTTACCAGCTTCGGTCCTGTAGTTACCAGTTTCGGTCCTATAGTTACCAGTTTCGGTCCTATAGTTACCAGCTTCAGTCCTATAGTTACCTGCTTCAGTCCTATAGTTACCAGCTTCAGTCCTATAGTTACCAGCTTCGGTCTGACAGATGAATTTTCGGTCTGTCAGTTTGACAGACCGAACCTCCACTGATCAACACTTTACCCACTCTGGTTTAAATAATAGATCTGTCATCTCTAATATATCAATTCCTGAGCTTATTGTTGTCGTTATTGTTATTATTATTATTATTATTATTATTATTATTATTATTATTATTATTATTATTATTATTATTATTATTATTATTATTATTATTATTATTATTATTATTATCGTTGTTGTTAAGACACATGTGCAACATCTGGATATCTTTATTGTAGACGTTTCGCCATCCAGTGGCTTTATCAATACAGATTCTAGGACATTATTGGAAGACAGAAGAACTATATACAAAAGCTGAGGTAATCAGTCCCTCAGCCTTGGAGTTAGTGTTCACAGCATCGTGGTGGTGGAGAATCTGGAGTTAAAGTCAAGAAGACTGGCGGTTATATAGGCTACACGTCCTTATCCACTGACGCCTATATAACCGCCAGTCTTCTTGCCTTTGCTCCAGATTCTCCTCCACCACGATGCTGTGAACACTAACTCCAAGACTGAGGGACTGATTACCTCATCTTTTGTATATAGTTCTTCTGTCTTCTAATTATGTCCTAGAATCTGTATTGAAAAAGAAACTGGATAAAGCCACTGTATTGATAAAGCCACTATGGAGAAGTAGCTTATATACTGTAGGTAGGAGAGATGCAGCAGTCGTAGGTGGTGTTATATATAAATGTGACACCACCTACGGCTGCTGTTCTTTATGTTTCTCCTTTGTAAGGACTGATGAAGCCACTGTGTGGCGAAACGTTTCCTCAATAAAGATACCCAAGAGTTGCACATGTGTCTAATTTTTCAACGATTCACACACACACACACATACACACACGCACGCACACACACACACTCACACACACACACACACACACACACACACACACACACACACACACACACACACACACACACACCAGCAGAGGTCAATCAGAGCAGGACAGAGCAGCAAGGGCAAGCACACACAGAACTATCCTCAGAACCCCACAACCTATCACACCATCCCAACACAAACTACAATCCATACTCACAGCTTCTGCCCAACACCCACAGTACGCTACCAGATCTCCCACCCTCACAGGCCCCCTAAACCACAGTGTTGAAGAGGAAACTGAAGGTATGGTACAAAAACGCTGATGGAATAACAAATAAGTGGGAGGAGTGGCACGAAAGAGTCAAAGAGGCATCACCGGACATCATAGCTCTCACAGAAACCAAGCTTACACGTATGATAACAGATGCCATCTTTCCAACGGGATACCAAATCCTGAGAAAAGACAGAGGGAACAGGGAGGGGGGGTGGAGGAGTGGCACTGCTGATCAAAAACCGATGGAATTTTGATGAGCTGGAGAGAGGAGACAGCGGAGAAGAAAGTGATTACATAGCGGGAACGCTTCACTCTGGAGGTCCCAAGGTGGTAATAGCAGTGATGCATAACCCACCACAGAACAGCAGGAGGCCAAGGCAAGAGTATGATGAAAGCAACAAAGCGATGGTTGACACACTGGCTGCAGTGGCTAGAAGAGCTCATGCATGCAGGGCAAAGCTCCTAATCATGGGTGACTTTAAACACAAGGAAATCGATTAGGAGAACTTGGAGCCACACGGGGGCCAAGATACATGGAGGGCTAAGAAGATGGAGGAGGTATTGGAAAACTTCATGTACCAACACGTAAGGGACACTACAAGAGAGAGAGGAGAGGATGAACCAGCAAGACTGGACCTAGTATTCACCTTGAGTAGATATTGAGGACATCACATATGAAAGACCGGTCGGGGCCGGTGATCATGTGGTTTTAAGCTTCGAATACACTTTAGAGCTACAAGTGGAGGGGGAAGCAGGAAGGCCAGGATGAATGAAGCCAAACTACAAGAAAGAGGAATACATGGGAATGAGGAACTTCCTCAACTGGGTTCAGTGGGACAGAGAACTGGCAGGGAAGCCAGTTAATGAGATGATGCAATATGTAGCAACAAAATGCAAGGAGGCTGAGGAGAGGTTTGTACCCAAGAGTAACAGGAATAATGAAAAAGCCAGGATGAGCCCATGGTTTACCCAAAGGTTCAGGGAGGCAAAAACCAAGTGTGCTAGGAATGGAAGAACTATAGAAGGCAAAGGACCCAGGAGAATGAGGAGAGCAGTCGTAGAGCCAGAAATGAATATGCACAGATAAGAAGGGAGGCCCAACGACAATATGAAAACGACATAGCAGCGAAAGCCAAATCTGACCCAAAGCTGTTGTACAGCCACATCAGGAGGAAAACAACATTCAAGGACCTGGTAATCAGGTTAAGGAAGGAAGGAAGGAGGAGAGACAACAAGAAATGACCGTGAAGTATGTGAGGAACTCAACAAGACATTCAAAGAAGTGTTCACGGAGGAGACAGAAGGGGCTCCAGAAAGACGGAGAGGTGGGATACACCACCAAGTGCTGGACACAGTACACACAACCGAGGAAGAAGTGAAGAGGCTTCTGAGTGAGCCAGATACCTCAAAGGCAATGGGGCCAGATAACATCTTTCCATGGGTCCTGAGAGAGGGAGCAGAGGCGCTATGTGTACCCCTAACAACAATATTCAATACATCTATCGAAACAGGGAGATTGCCTGAGGTATGGAAGACAGCAAATGTAGTCCCAATCTTTAAAAAAGGAGACAGACACGAAGCACTAAACTACAGACCAGTGTCACTGACATGTATAGTATGCAAAGTCATGGAGAAGATTATCAGGAGAAGAGTGGTGGAACACCTAGAAAGGAATGATCTCATCAACAGCAGCCAACATGGTTTCAGGGACGGGAAATCCTATGTCACAAACCTACTGGAGTTCTGTGCTGTTTCTGGTATTTGTGAACGACATGATGGAAGGAATAGACTCCGAAGTGTCCCTGTTTGCAGATGACGTGAAGTTGAAGAGAAGAATTCATTCGATCGAAGACCAGGCAGAACTACAAAGGGATCTGGACAGGCTGCAGACCTGGTCCAGCAATTGGCTCCTGGAATTCAACCCCACCAAGTGCAAAGTAATGAAGGCTGGGGAAGGGCAAAGAAGACTGCAGACGGAGTACAGTCTAGGGGGCCAGAGACTACAAACCTCACTCAAGGAAAAAGATCTTGGGGTGAATATAACACCAGGCACATCTCCTGAAGCACACATCAACCAAATAACTGCTGCAGCATATGGGCGCCTAGCAAACCTCAGAACAGCATTCCGACATCTTAATAAGGAATCGTTCAGGACCCTGTACACCGTGTACGTTAGGCACATGTTGGAGTATGCGGCACCAGTTTGGAACCCACACCTAGCCAAGCACGTAAAGAAACTAAGAAAGTGCAAAGGTTTGCAACAAACTAGTCCCAGAGCTAAGAGGTATGCCCTACGAGGAAAGGTTAAGGGAAATCGACCTGACGACGCTGGAGGACAAGAGAGATAGGGGGGCCCATGATAACGACATACAAAATACTGAGGGGAATTTGACAAGGTGGACAAAGACAGGATTTCCAGAGATGGGACACAGCAACAAGGGACACAGTTGGAAGTTGAAGACACAGATAATCACAGGGATGTTAGGAAGTATTTCTTCAGCCACAGAGTAGTCAGTAAGTGGAATAGTTTGGGAAGTGATGTAGTGGAGGCAGGATCCATACATACTTTTAAACAGAGGTATGATAAAGCTCACGGTTTTAAGGAGAGTGACCTAGTAGCGACCAGTGAAGAGGCGGGGCCAGGAGCTTGGACTCGACCCCTGCAACCTCAGCTAGGTGAGTGCACACACACAAAAAAAACGCATTCACACATATACACACACACACACACCCCACGCACACACACACACACACACACACACACACACACACACAAAACCACACACACCCCACACACACACACACACACACACACACACCCCACAAAACACAACACACAGGACACACAACACACACACAACACACACACACACACACACACACACAACACACACACAACACACACACACACAACACACACACACCCCACACACACACACACACACACACACACACACAACACACACACACACACACACACACACACAAACACACAGGACACACAACACACACACACACACACACACACACACACACACACACACACACACACACACACACAACACACACACAACACACACACACACACACACACACACACACACACACACAC